ATTATGTTGACATACATATGTCTCTATAAGTATTTTCAGAATATTCTTTGTTATAGATTAAGCTGAACAAGATAGGTACCTTTATCGTTTTATGTTAGCAGCTTTGATGTCGCTTTTGGGCTATGGATTATATTTTATTCAAATTAAACACTTTATATATACATATATTATATTGAATACGGTCATAAAGGTTTAATATGCGCTTAGTACTTATTGCCAATAATGTAAAAGAAATACTTTAATAGTTAAAAAGAACACAGATAAATATTGTAATAATACTTTACTGAATTCCAATAATTTGTAGTTTTATTATTTTGTTAATAGTCGCACAATGACGATACTAATAAAGTTAATTTATATTACTGTATATTTAAAAACATAGACTTTAAATATGAGTTCATGCAATTGAAGAACACCATCGCAGCGCCCAAATAGATAAACATTATAGTAGGTAATAAATTTGTATAGAACATGCAATGAAAATAATATTATCACTGAATTAAAGTATTTTGATATAAATGATAAATATAATTTTTAATTATTTTTAATGATGAGAACATGGAACATTAAAATAAAATAAATGTTTTTATTAGTTCAAAATTTGTAACCATTGTATTATAATGAATAGTTCTTAGATTTGATAATGATTATACATAATAATTTATTATATTAGTTTATAACTTTATCCTATGTTATAACGACGACAATAATACAGTTTCAAAGAGTCAAAACATAAAGCTACCAAATCAGATAACAAGAGGTAATACAGGTAAGTTTTCAGACCTAATATTCTAGGGTTAGGGATCTAAAGTTTAGTTTTTTTTTTACTAAAAAAATTAAAACTTAAATGAAAAATAATAATGCTTGTTTCTAAATTAAAATTTTAATTAATAATGGTATTAAACTTATTTATATATTTATAGAATATTTTATAGCAAAATATTTACAATATTTAAACTTCTTTAACAAAGACAACTATGTATACATTACATTTGATAATAAAACAATTATAAATAAAATATATTTAACTTAATAAGATATGAATACATTTTAAATTATTACATGGACGATTAAAAATATTGGTCAAAATATAAAAAATAATAAATTAGATATTTACTGTGGATAATGGATATTGATATATCTCTTTAATAAATGAGAGTTTTTTATAATACTAGTGTAGGTAACTTACTAGTTACTTGTTATTGGTCTGTAAAATGACCCCTAAAGCCTGTTGTGTGTTATCTGAATAAATGCCGTTGTAAAAAACTAAACGAATATTATTATTGTTATATTTCTCATAATATCATGAATTTGCAAAAAGTACTCTGTGAGTCGAAACATGATAATATGACCTAATGATCGTATTTCAATATTTTCTATTATTATAGATACCATTCATTAAGATCTACGACGTGTTTTGAGAAGTTAAAAATAAAACGATATTAATCAGTCACCTTTTCTATGACGGATGATATACAGTTCCCCTGGGAATGTCGAGTATTGGTGTAATACTACAGGTGGGCCACCGTGTTTTGACGTTTTTCCAGGATATGGATGATACGGAAAACCGGGAAAACACGGTGGCCCACTCAGTACAATTTTTAATTCGTTTTTGTTTTGTTCTTTTATGCAAAATCGGAGACAGTGGTAGATGCAATTAATATTTTCATAGGTGTGATTTATACTACATAGTCTTGGATTATTATTATTATTATTATTGTTATCATATATTGCAGACTAAACTATAATGGTTTAGTCTAACTATGAATTTTTACTTTTTTAAATGTTTAATTAGTTATTTATGAATATTTAATTTGGGTTATAGCGTGTCTCCAATATAATAAGAGAAAGATACACAAACGCTAAAGAGAGCAAGAACTGAAATGGGAGATGATTTTTTTTTTCCTTGACGTTTCACTTTCAATCCATAAAATAATATTATGTTCAAAAATTAAATATATCCAACAGGTAGAAAAGGTTAAGTTGGTGTTGTCGTAAATATATAATCTATGATAGGGGTTCTGGAGCAGTTTAAAACCGCAGCTTATACAACTTATATATGCATAAGATACACATATTATATTATATATTATGTGGGGAGCCAATAGATATATTTATACTAGATCCTTGTATTGTACATGAATGTATATATTATGCTCTGCTGTTTCACAGTAATATTTTCACAGGCTTTCTTAGCATAGAAATTAATTAGTTAAAAAAATTATTAAATAAATTGAAACAAAACTATTACGTTCAATATTATATTATCACATCATGCCTAAGATTTATAACAATCTGTTGTTATATAAATAAGAGAATAAATATATACATAAGTACATACATATATTTGCAAAAATTAATTAAGCATAAAATATGAATTAAATTGTTCAAGGACTAAAAATAAAATGTGCCAATAAAAACAGTCGAAATAATTTTTAAACATTATAATTTTGAAAAGCGACAGAATAAAAACTAAACGCCCAACAACATAATTTTATGGTAGGTATATAATATTATAATAACATCAAATAAATGCTACTTCTATTTTCTTAAGAATTTAAATACATAAAACTCTAAAATTTATAATTCAAACGAGCTGCAAGATGTTTAGTCTACAGTATTCGAAGTATTTAAATAGCAGAGGATAGTGAATCAACATTTTGCGAGTTACCCCCACACAGTTTCCACTTCTTTCTGACCATAAAAACTTTAAATTCTTATTAAGTTATAGCTAATATAAACAACTGGTATAAAATCAATTTTTTACACGGGTATTATAGTTTTAATAAAACATTTTTCTTTGGATATTTTTTTTAAACATAATTAGTTTTCAGGCCATCTGTTACTGAATTGAATAATGCGTTTAATTGTTAAAAAAAATAAATTGATATTAAATTGTGTAAAAATAATATTATTTCAAAAAAATCACCAACAGTTTTTAAGATAATGATTTCTAACTATAAAATATTCATTTTAAATCCATATATGCGTGGCAAACGATCGGATGTGTGATAAAGTAGTAGACGGTAGACACTTACTAAAGTAAGTTCTTTTTTAAACTATTTTCGTTTATTAACTGTAATGTGTTAAATTATATATTAAACGTAGTATAGATGTAAAGATAATTTAGAGTTTTATTTATAGATGTTGTAGGTATAAGACTATAAGTAAAAATCTAAAAGAAACTCAGAATATCCTCAAAGTATATTAAATCTTATAGCGCACATTCCGAATAACTATAATCTAAAAATAGTATGTACCTAAATCTAAAAAAATGGTAATATTTTTTAATTTTTAAAGTACAAGACTAATATATCAATTATTACATAAAATAATAAAAAAAGTAATATTATTTTGTAATTATTAAATATTTGTCAGAAATAATAATATATACATTATGCATAAAAAAAAAATCAATACATTTTTTTTTTTTAATTAAACAAACCCGATTTTTTTTTATGTATTAATATTTTAAACGAGGGTGAAAAAAAATATATATATATATTGAAAGTGATTTATAAATACGGGTATGTACAATATTATACATACTTTTTTTTGTTACACAGGTAAGTACGAGGGCCGTTTTAATAGATTGAAGATTTATTTACTTTGTTATAGCAGGTAATTATTTTAAAAATGAAAATATTAAAGTTTGTTGATTAAAAAGCCAGATTGAAATATATTACATATATGTATGTTTTCAATTTCAGGGTTATTATTTGAATTTTAAACGCGGTATGTGTGTTATTCACTAAAATTGAACACTCAAGTGTAAAGGTACTTTAGTTCTAAGGTTTCATCTTTTTCCTTTCAAAGTGTAAAGGGTTGGATTTTATAATTTTAAAATTAAAAACACCACCTATATGAAATTTTCTATCTTTTGAGGTGAAATATAAAAAGATCAGAACACGGAAACAATGTAAGACTGAACACGGATCAAAAGGAAATGAAGCTGACATGAAATAAAATAACTGCTTTTTCAATCTACCTGGAATCTAAGATAATAGTTTTAAATTACATTGTCTTGAGTGTTGCTCTAATAAAGTTTACTATATATTTACTGAAAATATATATCAAAATATCAATTTGATCAACGTCAGAATATTACACCATTTTTGTATTTAAAATTTAAAATTAAGCTTATTAAAAAACTTGATAAAAAATAATATAAATAGACATAATAAAATTAAAATAAAACTTTTGAATAATAATATTATATTAAACATTATAATTTATTGTTTTTGAATCAAAGTTAAAATAAAAATGTATTTAATTTTAATTTTAAAGTAAAAAACTTGTAACAATCTATTTTGATCTATAATTTTAAAATAGTTATAGATTATGAGTGAATTTTTTAATGACGTTTAAATTATTTTGATTGTCATTTTTAGAGTCAGTTTATATAACTTATCATGTAAAAAAGTTATAAGTATTTTATTTAAATATTGAAATCTTAACATATTATATATTATACAGTATACAAAGCTACAGAGATTTAATTTTTTATCGTACATTGGATTTATTTTATGGACGTTTTTAAGTATCCCTCGAAAAATAAAAAATTATTCTCGAGTAAATCAAAGTACATTTATTTTTGTTTATTTTGGATCGATTTATAATGGTCTAGAATTTTTTTTTAATTTTGTATAACGGTATCGATGTATATATATATATATATATATATATATATAGGTACATCAAACCTTTTTATCCTGTATTAGACTCAAGCTCTCATGGGGAGATATTAAAAAGATTCATAAATGATATTTTAATAGATCAACTTCATTTTTTGTTATTTATGTTTTTTATTTTTTCATTTTTTTTTTATCAGACGAAACACGATAAACGCATTAAAGCCATCACATACACGTTAAACAAAAATTGAGAGACATAAAGAGAGCGAGGGAGAGAGTCGAAAAAGATTGTGTGTGTGAATGAGAGAGAGAGCGAGGGGGGAGAAAATTGTATTCGAATCGACCATATCATAATATTTCACTTACCTTAAAAATTATTTTTCCGTCCACACACGTGCAGCTGGAGTGGGGCTTTCGGATCGGACGGCGTACACAATCGTTTTCAACGACAACAGCGACGACGACCGCGTCAACCGAGACAGCGAGCAGCGATAGCACCACCACCACCGGCAGCAGCAGCACCAGCACCAACACACCACCAGCACACTACCAGCAGCAGCAGCAACAGCCGGCCGTGTTTGGTGGACGCACGCGGAACACACGACGGCGGGACACGGCGGGACGACGTCATTTCCCGGAGAGAGCACTTTCGGCACGCGCATTCCCGTCGGCGCTTTCCGGAGACCGATTCGCCGCCGTCGCTGCCACCACCGCCGGCGCGTACAACAACAAATCACCGGCACCCCATACCCACTCAGCCGTTCCACAAGCCCTCCACTGCCGCCGAACCCTTGCCGCATCGAGACCCAAACCACCCTCACGGTCGACCCCGTCACTCCAACCCCACCGACCCGTCATCCGTCCACGAGCCCCGGCCACATCCCCCCCTCCGCGCCGCTAGAGTCATCGAGTCGACTGCGTCGCCGCCGCCGATGCCGCCGCAGGTGCGTAGTACAAGGGTTGTGGGGAGGGTGGTGAAGTAGTATAGCTGTAATATACCCTATCTATACATAATATAATTACGTGATTGTAATATCATTGCGAGTGAAATGTCAAATAATCGTGTTTGTATTTGTGATGATAAGGAGCAGATAGCCTTTGATAGATAAGTCCGAATGACGGAGCAGAAACCCTCGAACCGTGACTGGAGGGATGTTAAGTTTAAATTCTAAACGTCACACACTCAGGTCTAACCACACGAAGACGGGATTAGAGTCACTCACGTCCATTTTAAGGGGCAAAGCACATTAGTGCCAGTTAGAAAAAAATTAAATTGGTAGATTGCGACTCCTTTGGATCAGTTATTTACACAAGAATATCGTCGGTTCAAAAAAATATTGATCATGTTTAGGCTATTCGTTAGTTATTTTTTGTACGCATATGTACTAGGAAGATTGACATAAAATATTGTTACGCATTGTTTCAGCGCAGTAAAATGCTTAATTATTTTATTTAAATAATAGATACGGATAAAAAAAAAAAAGATGATCGTACTATTGGAACTATTACAACTACATATACTATGTAAACTAATGATAGTCAATACTAAAAAGTCTTCTAAGTTCTATTTAGCGTCGTTTCATCTTAAACTTTACCAAATTTTACTCATTTATGTGTATCGGATACAGGTATAATAATATAATAACGTTTGATACATATCCAATAATAAATAGGTAATAACATAACATTATGACCGTGTTTTACGAATGATAAAAAATAACAATAATGTACGAATACTGTATTTTTATAATAATATGCATAAAATATATTTTTATTACATTTTATATGTCACGTGAATGTTTTACTAGGGCTTGTCAAACTCACATTATACGGAAATACGTAAATATTAAAACCATAAATTTGATAAATGTCGTAGAAGCGTATACAATTTTCATTTAGTATTTCTAAAATAGAAAGACACTAAATGATATAAGTAAAAAATGTAAGACTCGAGTGATGTGGTTCGGATCGCCAGAGGAGGTATAAATCCTCGTTCAAGACTCGTCTCACCGAAATTTCGTCTCTCATGTGTTGAGCATATCAAGTGCACTCGTGGACGACAGTAAGATAGACCCCGAGAAAACTTACTATGTTATTATTGTAATACTGACGACCATGAGAAAATATTATAGTTGGCCGCCTGTTGCGACCTGCGGGTATGCTGTATATAGCGTACACCATACCCTAAATATATGGATGGCAGTCGTCTCGATCAAGTTTACGACCATGGTTGCTAGCATACGAAGATCTTGGATGTGTAGAAACTTTTAATATATAATATAAAAGTTGTCACCGACATTATAATATTATACGGCGACAAACATAGTGATTCAGAAGTAGATAAAATTTTTTTTGAAAAAAAGTATAATTAATATTTATTATAATATGTATATTTATATTTGTAAATATTAAAGTAAGCACCAATCTTTTAGAGTTTGAGCGGAGCTATGAATGTATTGTTTTAACAATAATATTTAGGTTTATTTATAGTTGTGAACCTTAATTTAAAAAACTTTTAAATTTAATGTTCTCACTATTTATAAGCTTTTTTTTTTTAATTGAAGTTATAAAAAAAAAGCTTAGCGTTAATCAATAGTTACTTTTTATAAGCGATTAAAGTTAGAATTTTAACAATATTCGTGTTAAAACCTTAAATATTTATTAATTGTTTTGTAATTAAAAATTTATAAAATTTTCAGTATTTAATTCTAATAAGTTTCTTTTAACTTTATAAATTGGTTTTATTAATTTGAAAAGAAAAAGTTTTGCGTAATGCACCCTACACTCTTTATGAATGAATACATTTGAAATTTAATTGAAATTTAACTACCATAGAAACAAACACATAAAATAACGGGTTTTTTTCCATATATTAATCGGTATTTATTTATTGCTATTTAGGCTAATATTTATAGGCCTTTGAAATTTTCGATTTTTTTTTAAAGTGTTAATTGGAATATATGGTATGAACTGAAAAGCTTAAATATATTTAAATAAAGATCCTACATAAGTTTGTCTTATAGCCATTTAAAACTATATAAAATATACATACATAATTTTTAAACGTATTGAAATTTTTAATTTTTTGAAATCACAACAATTTTAAAACTATATATTTTGGTTAAGATAAAATTTTAAACTTTAAAAATCAAGGCTTCAAAATTTAATATGAGTTCAATGTTTTTCATAAGTTTTTATTTGACTAACTTAAAGATTTTTAACATACATATTAAACATGATTGATTTTTATAGATATTTTAAGTACAAATTCTAACAATGATAGATATTTATCTAACAAATAACGGTTTTAGTTATTTTATGGTAATTAAATAAATTATATTTTTCTTTAGAACTTATAACTTTTTGCTGTTACATATATTATTTTTCATAATACTCAATGACATTTTCAATATAGTTAAATTATTTTAAGTGTAAAAATAATGTATGTATTTATATTAATTATTGTATAATATGGATGTCTAATCATCATCTTAATCATCGGATAATTAGAGTAGACGATTTAACCCGATAACTGGACACAACATTCCGTGAAACTATCAATTACATTTTAATACAAAGATAACAGTTATATATTATTATGATGGACGGATCAGGATGTATTATAATATTATCTCTGTAAATCTAAGCAGAAGTGATTTATAATGATTCCCAATAATATTCTATCATTTGTATAACAATAGGTCATAAGAGCAATAAATTGAAACTATTTAAAACTAATTATATATAAAAAAAAAAAAAATTAAATAATATTAAAATTAAAATATGCCAAATGCCGTAATAGTTTTATGTCTACTATAAGAGGTCGTTTTAATTTTCCAACATTGTTTGAAAAATGGTAAAAATAATGATGATCAAACGCAATTCATCAAGAATAATACTAAATATAGAATAGGTAGTGATCGATACTGAAATAATATGATAATTATTAAAACTAAATGCCATGCCATAGCTATTGATATATTTATATAATATAAGAGAGATAAAATGAAACAAATCAAAAATAACACATTGTTGCATTTTAAAAACTAATAAAGCAATATTCAAAAATGAATAGTAAGTAAATAATTCAATACTATTATTCATTTTTAACTATAGAATTTTGTTTTTTAATTAAATAACCACGCTTATTCTGTGTATTTTAATGGTAAAACTTTTTGATAAAAAATATTAACAATAGTCAAGTATCAAAAACTAATGACAATACAAAGTAATACATAACATAGTAGGTACGTCGTTGTATTTTTTTCTGTCAAAACCTGAGGGAATTATTAGATGGAATTTTCAAACTTAAATTAATAAAACAAACTATTGGGGATTAAATAAGATCGGAACAGAAAAAATATGTAAATATTAGGTTACGAGTTACAATTAAAGTGATTTTAAATTAGAAATAATTGTTATCTTTTTTTTTAAAAAATACGTTTAAAATGGCCTAAGAATGCAAACGCACGGGAAATTAAATTGTTTGCTTGTAGAACTAATGTATAAGACGCGTATTTGTATGTGGTATAGTGTATGTATAAGGTATGAGCGTTGCGACAGAGTAATGGATTTTGACAGAATTCGATCAAAACGAGGAATAATTCAGTACACTGACGCAGGGTTAAGTGAAACGATTTCGATTTATATTTACGATTCAATTACTTTATACATTATGTGGTAATATTATATCGTGTGCTCAGGTTAGTAAAAGCTAGAACATGTACGTCTCTCACATATAGCTATATTATACATAAATTGATGCTTATTTCATTATGAGTTTAAAATAACTGTTACATTTCAATTCGAAAACTCGTTGATATCATTTTCTATAGCTGAATATTATTCAATTAAATTACGCACTTTGGGTATCTATTTAATACATGTTTAAACCCCTCTTGGTATCTATATTATATTATTTATATTATAATTTGATTATAGAAAGTTTATTAATAGTATACGACAAACACATTTTTTTTTGCATTTAATTATTGTACAATTAATTTATAACGTTTTTTATATTTTAAATTTTTATAGCTACTAGAATAAATACAGATATATTAACCACTATAATTTAATAAAATACAAAAACTATTAATTTCGAATATATTGTACGATGAATGATGAGGTAGTCATATATTTTTTATAGTAATCACAGCTATTAATGAAACTAAATTATAATATATTGAATATACGATATATAATTGAGTAGATACGATTATAATATAAGCACAACTTGTATAAAAATAACTAAGGAGAAATAGAATTTTTGGTAATAAGAGCGTTAAGAGCTGATGAAAGAAGTGCAATTATAGGTGAATTGATTAATGAGATAACTATAAAAATTAAGTGTGATAAAGTGACTGAAATATGTTCTGTGGGAGTGTTAAGAGATTGGTGGTTTCTACAAAGGTTTTGGTTTTTGGTTAAAACTATAAGTCTGAAACCTTATCGGATAAAAATTTCCGAAACGTTTTTGGAGCAGACTTGAAGATTACGTGTCACCTGGAGTTGGTAGAGTGGCTTTTTGAATAAGAAGCACATTTGGCTGAATTGTTTCGATCTTTGGCGCACACATATAAATGGTGCGATTCTCCACATTTTATAAAA